TCAATGGAACATGACATTTAAAACATGCTGGAATTTTGCATTAAAAGCTCAAAACATACTAATCTCTTACTAGAGGAAGTTATGCACAGAAACCTGGTAGGTTAATGGCCCATTGCAAATGAAAGTGAGTATCTTTTATTAATAGATTTAAAAAAAAATTATGGTTTTTTTTTTTTATCATAGTTCTGCCCCACTACTAAGGAAAGTGAAACTAAAATAAATTTTAAAATCCTGGCAGGAGGCGGTGGCAAATCACTCTCATCTTGCCACATTCAGCTCAAGTTAATCCTGTCATTCCTTCTTGCTGGCACGCCTTTAAAGGTGGTGCTTCTTGACAGCTGATGATTCCAAATTGCTCCAGGGCCAATTAATTTAATTTGATGTCCTGCCTTTCTTCTACCTATTTAAAATAAGTACACGCGAGACATTCTAGAATCATTTCGTTTCTTAAGAAGGCTGGGAGAGAATAAAGAATACCTACCTCAACCATTGTGAGTATAAAACCTTTCCACATTTCCAGATGTTCCAGGCTTTCCATCTATAAAGGAAAAATAAAGCCCACGCACAGCATAAGAGTTATGCAAAGATTAGAATCAAGGAATCATAGAATCATAGGGTTGGAAGGGACCTTGGAGGTCATGGAACCACAGAGTCATAGGGTTGGAAGGGAGGTCATGGAATCATAGAGTCATAGGAATGGAAGGGACCTTGGAGTCATGGAACCATCGATTCAGGTTGGAAGGGAGGTCATGGAATCAGTCACAGGGTTGGAAGGGGCCTTGGAGGCCATGGAACCATAGAGTCATAGGACTGGAAGGGATCTTAGAGATCATGGAATCAGAGTCATGGGGTTGGAAGAGACCTTGGAGGTCATGGAATCATAGAGTCATAGGACTGGAAGGGATCTTAGAGATCATGGAATCAGAGTCATGGGGTTGGAAGAGACCTTGGAGGTCATGGAATCATAGAGTCATAGGGCTGGAAGGACCTTGGAGGTCTTCTAGTCCAACCGCCTGCCCACAGCAGGACTCCTCAGACCACCTCAGACAGATGGATGTCCAATCTTAGCTTGAGACCTTCCAGTGATGACCTTCCACAGTTCTAGAATTAATTTTGTTTTGTTGTCATTTAGATTCTACATTAATCCAGCCTTTTCAACCACACT